TGTTGTGAGATGAAAATTTTTGTCTGATATCAGAACAAGGAAATGGCGTCAATGACGCGGTCTGACGGCAACTACATTGACAGCTATGGCCATCTGTTGGTAAATTCCGGTTTCATATTTACATACCTGGTATTAAGCACTGTGTTGTTTTTTATCGCTGTCCCGTTCGTTCCTTAAACGATTCTCTGTACTTAATCACGAACCGCCCCCTCTGCCATTTTCGAGGCTGAGCTTCCGGTTGAGAGGGCCGTCGATATTCGCAGTTTAGTAGAATATTGGGTGGAAAATAATCTGATTAATTGTGAGTAAGAGTGGCACGCTCGCTCGTGCCTGACGTCCAGTTATCGGTTTTGAGATCATACTGTGTACCGAAGCGTTCGGACAAGGAGGAAATTTCGGTTTCTTCTAAGATCGGACGTATTCTCAGTTTAAAATTATCGGAAATTGTAGAGTATTAACTGCGAACACGCAACGAAGTGGCGCCACGCTGGTCGTGAGTGCGGTTGCATCAGATACGATAAAGAAACCCAAGATCGGTCAAATTTTGGGTGTTACAAATAATACATTATATATTCTTTTTTTAAATCAATTTATTTCAAATATAATTACGAGCCGATAACATTCAGTTTCAACACAATCATTCTGAAACGCTATAATAATCCCCCCTAAATTATATTAGAAAGAAAGGAAGAAAGAAGGTAAGAAATTTATTGCGAAAAGTATTACCTCAGCCAGGATTCGAACCTAGGACCTTTCAACTTTCCGAGAAAAATGTCTTAGCCAGCTAAACCACTTCGGTAATATTCTTCGCAATAACTGGTATGTATAGAGACAACGCGTTGTATGGCCGCGTGTATACAAACATATTAAGTAACATTATTCCGTAAAACTCCCGAAAACAGAATAATTGTTTTCGTTGATATCTGACAACTTTGTCAGATAATCAACTGCAACTAACTTCTGATTTAAATTGCAGGCAATGATAAAGAATTTTGCAAGCGATTCACGAAGCGGCATTTTTATCGCTCACGAAACTATTGATTTTATAATTTCATAACAAAAATCAACTCTTGACAGAAAAAATCAACGTAGGACTAATCCTTAACTCACTCGATACGCGCTATTTACATGGTAGAGATATTCATGAAAAATCCTAAAGAAGGATGAATCAGTAAAACTTACTAGCTACGCCATTGGTTAATGGATTTTGACAATTTTTCCCATTGGTTTCGTTCCTTTTACACGTAGAGATTTTCTCGAAAAATTTTCAGAGTGGGAGATGATAAAAACTCTGGTTACGAACAACATTCTAACAAACCTTGACAATATAAAATTAACTTCCTTCCTCGCATATAAGCATCACTCACACCATCGCTCGTCTTAGAAAAACCCTTTTCTTTCCTTTTCTTCGGTTATTACTTCGGAAAAGTTTTTGTCACATGTTTTTTCGTACTATGGTATTCTTATTGTCGGAGTAACTCAAATTTAATCTTTCCTATTTTTTCTGTTTTATCAGAAAAATTCTCACATACTATTAGTCTATGACAAACAAAAAATGAACTTTTTCAATGAAGAAAAAACGGAATTTCATTCTTATATCACGTAGCGCTTGATTTTTGTTAGATTTCGTTTGATGTGAGAAAGGAAAAACGTGGACTCACTGAACATAACCCTCGTCATTTAAATTTTTTTCTTGACTTTCGTTATATAACTAAGACTTAATTTTTTATACTATAAAAGAATTTTATGACGGTTGACAAATAACACTAGTTTACAAAAAATTTTGTTTTTCAATTATTTTGGACCGGACTACGTGTCTCTTATAGATTTTTAAATACTGAAAACGATGCCGCAAACAAAAAAATTCTACCACGTCAGATTTCCAAAATAATTGAGGTTTAATACTTAAAAAATTGCTTTTTTGCGATATTTGACATTTTTTAATAAAGAAGGTTAACGTTATCTTGAAATTTCGATCAGGAGTCATGAATGTATTGTTCATCCCCTATAAAATACATTTTTTTTTTATTTCAATACCTTTTTAGCCATGTTATGAACGAATAAAGGTAGGAGCTATTTTGAATATGGTGACTCCGGCAGCGTCATATGTGTATGCGGATTAATTTCTTAGGGTCACATTTTGATAACTGTACCTAATACTTTTATGCACAGAATTATGAGACTGGCACTGGTGTAATAAAAATACATTGTTGCTAAAAAAAAGATAACATTAACCTTCTTTATTAAAAAAATGTCAAATATTGCAAAAAAAACTATTTTTTAAGTGTCAAACTTCAATTATCTTGGAAATCCGACGTGCTGGAATTTTTCCGCTTGCGGCATTGTTTTCAGCACCCAAAAATCTATAAAAGACACGTAGTCTAGTCCAAAGTAATTTTTTGCTGTAAACTAGTGCAATTTTCCTCAAAGACAACGTTTCTCTTTCGTTAGAAAAGAATTTTTTTTTAACATTAGGATTGCTCTTTTGACCGGATAAACTTTTATGTTCATTCTTATTTCCAATCGTGCTAGTGAGAAATATTTCTAAAATTTATTAAAAATAAATTCAACGTTAGGATATTTCCTTTACCTTGACGAATTATTTTCAAATATAATACTTTATATTCAAGTAATCTTGACGATTTATTCGATTTTTTACGAATTCGAGCATATTTGTGACATGAAATATTTCCGTTATCCATTTTCGAGAAAATTCTTTCTGAAAAAGTAACTGCGTTATATAACAGCGCGTGGCAAGATTCTACTAAAAAAATAACAATTTAAACAAATATTATGCGCGCGCAGATTTTCGTTAGTTTTCGAAAAGCACATATAAGCGCAAATCGCTTCACATAGTGTTATGATACTTCAGTCGTGTCTTGTTGCTCGAAAAGTCTACTTCGAAATTAGTCTTCCTAGTTTTCCTTTATTTGAGTGAGAAACATTCATCCAAAGTTTTTGCGAAGCGACATGGCTGAAAGACAAGAAATTGGAAATCACTGTGCCTGATAATCCTCGTGTGATAAACAATATTACCGAACGAAATGAGCAACAATATTTGCTGCTCTCTGCGACGTACTCTCTCAATTCCTCTCATATGAAGAAATTTCACGTGGGATTACAATCAACAAAGGAGGGAACTTTCGAGCCTATCGTCAAATTGACTGGTAATTACGTAGAAGAAATCAGCTTCGATTCGAACGCACGGAAACAATTTCAAGAGAATATGGGATTCATGAGCACATACCTAAACGGAAATGGCAAAATCAAAGTAAATTCTATCTTATTCGCAAACATATTCGTCAGCTTCACCTCCGCCTAGTGCGAAAGCTATACTGGTGACGCGCAAGCAAGATGAAAATTTTCCAAAGGAGGCTTCATCCGCAAGTACGCAAGCAGAACCAGCGTAACCGTCGACGAAGAAAAGAAAATCTTACTCCGTCGCGATTATAATGCAGCAAGCTACATTTTAAGGAATGGAGAGAGTAATCAAATGTGTCAATGCACACGTAAACCAACTGACGTCTATTATCGACAATGTTAATGAGTGTGCCCAATATTTGATTAAGGAGATAGTGTTGCTTCTGACTAATACCTACATCGACAGCGAAATCAAACTCACTTTTCGAGGTAACAAAAAAGACATTGAACGATACGTGAGAACACAAATAAAAAATTTGTCATTTTTGGAAAGATACTTTAATATATTAATTTTAGAAATAATTGAATTAAAATTCAACGAAATTGTTAACGTTTTAATGAATCAAGGATTGTGACCTTTATAATATATTTTTTTATATGATATAATTCATTTATCAATAATTTATTTATTAGTAATAACTCTTTTATCAATGAATAAAATCTTTGTATCTTAAATTCTCGACTATTTCACATTCGTATCTAAATATTCCAACATTTCAGGTTTAAATAATGTAGATTTTTATCATATTTAAATAAAAATATCTCCGGTATAGAGTACAGAAGAAATTTATTCTCTAAAAATGAGTAAATCACCACGCCGATTACTACGAAACGTACCAGCATGAACTTGTTCATTCCTGTTGTACCTCCCCTCTCTCCCTAGTGGAAGCAAGAGTCTCCCGAAAATTCTCGTAAAAGTCCTCGTCATAAATAATAAGAAAACCTTTCACTAAATGTCAGTACGCCGAAGACATTGAGCCGCTGCAGCAAAAAATGACCTACAGAACAAAAATTGTGTGCTATTCATATCCGCTGACCGCACCTTCCCCCTCTCCCCGTAACGAACAAATTTCTCGGTCCAAATTTCCCTCGATTTTCCCATCCACCATTTTATCATATTTATCCTTATCGATACCCCAACCTTCTACAGTCACCTCGTGGATGACTATGGACAGAGCCAATCAGCGTGTGGGCAGCCATGGACCGAGCCAATCAAAATGCGCCATTTAATTACCTCGTTATCCTCACTCTCGCGTCGTCAACCAATCACAGCGCACCATTTTTCCAGACATGCTACGCCCCTGGCGCCGGAGGTGGAGTGATGGGGGTTTGTTTTGACGGTCCATGGCTGATTGGTTCTGTCCATAGCCATATACTTCTGCAATTTCAACGCTTTATCCAGTCTCTATTTTCGCTTCTCGTCAAACTAGCCAACGCACACAAATTAGTAAACACACATTCGCACACATATACTTGTTCACACATATAATATACATAAAAAACGTCAGAAAATCTTTACACATAAAAAAATTTTGCTGCAAAGCACCCAGAAAGAATGTCACTAAGCCAGACTGTCACAAATTCCGGTAGGTGTTCAACGCGCTTCTCCACTCATTTTTCATTTCTTTTTTTAATATCTTTCGTTTATTTGCCGCTTTTATTCGATCGCACCATGAGGACAACGACTGTGGTTCAATGTGGCGAAGTGCTTTAAATAACGATAATTCTCAATCGAATATATGGTCGACGTATAATTGTAGTTTCTTTAAATTAGGAGCTTCTCTTTTTATTCATCAAAGCCTCGATTATTGATAAACACGCGATTTCTGAGGCCGCTGTCCGAGATATAACCAGTGACCATTTTATACTACTTTGCATATATTATATCCTTTTCGTTGCCGTTGTCCTCGATGTCTTTTTGATTTTTAGCTGCTCCTATTCTAGTTCTGCTCCTTTTCATCCTTTTGCTTGCCTATAGGATTCTTCGAATTCTTCTTCTTGTACGCTTCATTATAGAAGTTACGGAAGAGAAAATAGAACATTACAGCGTACATGCCTATCCACCAGACGAAGACCTTCGGGTAATTGCAATCGATGAAAAGTAATTGGAATGCGTGGATCATTACAAGGACGAACTGGATCATTTGCAAAGTGGTCAAATATTTCTTCCACCATAGATATGGCTGTATCAGTGGTCCGAGCGCTGCCAGGAAGTAATACGAATACATTACGATGTGTATAAAGGTATTTAGAAAACCGAAGAAAGTGCCGTGACCACCTGCAATAAATAAAGACTACATTACGATCGGAGAGACAATACTGTTTCCTGCAAATTTTATCACAAATTGAATATATATAATATCTTCTAAAATCTATTCCCAACTAATTAGTAAAAAATATACATATTTAATAAAAAAATACATTTAATGAACGTCAGAAAATGTATAATAAGCATATAAACTAAAAAATAAATGTTCAAAATTTAATAGAATATTAAAATTATTTTAAAAACGTAACAAAAATAGAAAAAATTTTATAAAACGTTTATAATGTTTAAAATATCGTTATTATGTAAGACGTTTTAATTTAATAAAAGTAAATATTTAATGTTAATGACGTTTATTTAACGTTTTTACTATAAAAACTGCTTCGATTAAATATTTTTTTAATATAACTTATCTGCTTGGATAATTTATTTAAAATATTGAGGTGTACTTCCGAAAAGGTGAACCCTCCGATTTTCTTCTCGATTGGTATACTACCGTGTTTTGATGCCCTAATTACGAATATGATTGCGAAAATTATCGACAAGATAATTTTCAAAGTTAAATATTTAAAAACCGATTTTTTTCACATTTTTTCACCCTTTTTGCGTAGAAAGTCGTACGCCTCCTCGCAGGAGGAAGGGGAGTGAGAGTCGCTTCGCGTGGAAAGTCGAAACCCACATGCAACAGTACAATTATAGAAGTCGTGTGCCCCTTAAGCAGGGGGGGGGGGGGGGGGGGGGCTATGGAAAGTATATTTAACCGTAAAAATGACCTTGTCAGCAATTTCCATGATCATATTTGTAATCAGCACACAAAAATATAGTATAGATGAAAATCGTTTTTTAAATATTTAACCTTGAAAATGATCTTGTCGGTAATTTTCATGATCATATTCGTAATTAGGGCATCAAAATACAATAGTATACTGTTACGTCCAAACCCTTGGAAATTTTTACTTGTGATCCTCTCGGAGAGTAGAAGGAGCGGGAACGGTGAGGGTACTTGGAAGGACGGTCAGATTCTTTTCTCGCAGGTACCCGCACGGTGGCGAGTACCGCAAGTCGAACGCACCCCTTTGTGCTCGCTTCGGAATATGAGTCAACGTCCTGTAAGGACGTATTAACACCTGTTTCCTACGAGCGGTGCGATCGTCGGTCTAAATTTTGAGTCAAGGAATCTAATCCTTTTAACTCGGGACTGGACCATGCGCGATCTCTGAAAAGGGCAAGGCTAACGACTACGAGGTCTCAGGGTTTTAAAATAAGAGAATGAGAGAGATGTAAAAATTATTAATATCGTTTATTTAAACTAAACATTACTTATCTATTATTAATATGTAAAGAAAACAATAAGAAATAGAGAAAGATTACGCATAAATAAAATTATTATAAACTAGAATTATCATAAAGATCATTATTACAAATTAAGATCATTATTATGAATTAACTAAAAATGGTTAATACAAACAAAAATATTATTACAATCAAAATATGTTGTTACGAGCCGAAATTATTATTATAACCGAAATTATTATATTATTTCCACTCGAATCGTTGCAACAATTAGATTACAGACAATAAAAGATTCGATTCGCTAGACGCTATTAACATTGTACATATATACCGCCAGAGAATGAACCTTGAGAGTGAGCAATGCTGACTGGTTTTCTTTATTATAGTTCATGTATAGTAGCGGAGATGTATCGGGAAAAATACGTATGGTAAGGGCTTCGGATAACGCTGGAGAAGCAGGTTCTCGAATGGGAGAAGGTGAACGGGAAGGTGGAGACGGTGAACGGAAAGTCGCTACTATAACGAACGGCCGGATTGGTGGCTGCGGTGAATCCGCTGGTGCCGGCGGTGCCGATGGTGGTGTTGTTGGGCGATTCTCGAGATTTCTTAAATTTGCGAGGCGCTGGAATTCTGCGTAAGCGTCATCCAATAATCTTCGCGCTTCTAAATAAAAGCCCGACTTCTAAGCCAACCTCTAAACGGGCGGTTATTCCCTTTTCGTGGCACTTCGTTGTGAATTACGTTATTAAAGGTTCGTGGATAAATAGAAGAACATGGAAGAAAAGACTTACTGTTGCGGTAGGCCTTGATTTTCTGGGTTGGTGTCCTGGTCTTGGAGTAGCTCGCAGACAAACCCGTTCTTGGTGCAATAGGCGAGGTCTTCTATTATGCACTGAACTGACTCTATGTATCTTATTTGAGCGAAATAACTGATGGACTGCGAAAGAATGACGGACTGCTTGAGGAACAGGACCGGACACAGAGTAAGATCAAAAATAAAGAGAGCGAGTCTCGCAGTGTCACGGTTTATATAGAGAGTTTCGGAGGGTGATTCTCTGATGAGACATGTTGAGTGGGAAAAATCGGGGATTTGGGTTGAAGGGATTTTTCTGCTTTTAGTAGGAAATTTGTGTTTCATATTCCTACTGGCGAACTATTTTCAAAATTCACTCCCGCACTGCAAGTTTCAATCCCTTGAAAACTTATTGGTGATACGTCATCACCTTCTCTAGATTTTCAGATCCACGGTCACCCATTGGCGAGTTTAGTTTTCGATTTTCTCTCTGAAGAGAAGGGGTATTTCACTTATCGTCCCTTCCGAACGACCCCATCATGACAATTTGAAAACTCGCATTCCCCCTTTTTTTCTTATTTTCGATTTCTCTTTTATTAGGTACTTGAACGTGCGTTTTCTCGTCTAGACAGTATTTCCTCAGAATTTTATGATCGTCGGCAAAAATTTAAAATCTATTCTTGTCAAGCTATTTCTATTTTACTACTTCCCGTTGTTAACGAAAAAACGCCCTTCAACATGTTACACGCGTTTGGAAATGCGACTTTCTATTTACTCAGGATTCCCGATCTGTTTTTTTTTAGATATTATTTATTGAAACTGAACGAGTTTAAATCGAACATTCTCGACATGGTTTGTAATCTGTCATAAGTTTTATTACCGTGGATCGGGTGATCCTGGATATCTATGTTTTTTGTTATCTTTCCAAAATCGTTGGGAAGGCTTTCAACGACACATTTTCTACATATTGTCACGCTCGCCGATCGATGACCGTTAACTCTCGCAATTTTCTCGCGTCTTGTCTTAATGATCACCCTATTAAGTTATCTCGAAACGAGGAAATCGTGGAGTCCTCCCGGACGTAACAATACCAATCGAGGACAAAATCGGGAGGTTCACCTTTCCCGGAGTACACCCAAATATTGTTTCAGTTTCTCTGATAATAAAAAAATTTGGTAAAAAACGGTTTTTTCTTTCAGCCTTGAAAGTTGTTTACTCGAATGTATTTCCATGAGCATTCGACGATTTCGATACTGTATTATTGTTTTAGAATTTAATACATTCATTCATAAGATTTTTATGTAAAAATAGTCACAAAGGTCAAAATATAGTATAATGACTATAAGTGTCAATAAACTCTACCGTTCACAATTTGAACGATATTTTATACTGTACTTCAATTTCCAATGTTAAATAAGTTTCATATTGTTATTAATATCAATACTTTATTAGAATAATTGTCGCCGTTTTTGCCGTATATGGATTCTAATTGTACAAATTCTAAATTGAAATTAATGAGATAGCGTTCACCGAATTATCAGTAATTAATTTCTAATTTAAAACGAGACAAACTACAGAGAAGTCTATGCATCATTCTTCTATATAAGATCTTCAAGATGCATGATGAGAAATGAGATTATTATATCTCCGGCATGCATTGCGCGCAGACACCGCGCCACAGACGAAGGTTTATTCTTAAGCTAATTTAAAAAAGGCATTATTATTAACTCATTAGCTACTGCAACAATACATTTCTGCTTCAATATAAAATTATAAATTATCACGTCCTGTATCGGAGGACAGGGAGAGATTGTCGCTATCTTCGGTTATCCCGACGAAAAGGAGGGCGCATGGGCTGGAGCTCCTTGGAACGAGTATTTCGCGAGTGGCAGGCAATTGCCGTGTTTGTTTTTCTTTTCGGATCCCTCCGTGATTCTCTCGGAGCTCTATCAGTGGCGCGTCCCTTACGTAATCATACGAAGTGACCAGGTGGCGTCGCCCTCGCCGACGCGAGAGTTTTTCATCCCTTAGAGCTTTCCGAGGAGAACCAGAAAGGGGAGTGAAGGAGCGTGGCGAGTAAAAGAATTCCTAGACTGCGTTCCCCTTATAAAAATTTTTCACCGTTTTAAGGCCTCGTATGAACCGTTTTAAGCCCGTTCTTGCTCGTTTCTTGCACTCGCAAGCACTCCCAGTGTATCATGAAGGAACGATAGTGAGTATACACGAGTACGCAATGAGTATTTTTGAGGAGATTGTCCGTTTTCAATACTCGTTTTTCCGCTCATGAACGACAAACATATACGCGAGTATTTTTGAGTGGATTGTTCGTTTTCAACTGATGAGTGAGAACACGTTAATACGACATTTCTCTTTTACTCGTACTTTTACTTATCATTTATTAATTACCATATCGTATGATTTCAAATAAATTAAAATAGAATTTATATAATAATTCATTATTTATTATTGAATATATACAGGGTGGACCATCTGAAGTGATCCAGTCAAATATCTCGAAAACTAGTAGGGATAGAGAAAAATGTTTCGTATGAAAAGTTTAGGGTTACA